TGCTACTTTTGGGTTCCTCCTGCATCCCTACGAGCATCCCCGGGAGCACTAGAGGGCACTGTGGGATCGGGGCCACCCCGGCCTCCCCGCCACCGCCGAGGTCCCCAGCTCCCCCGCCATGGCAGGAAGGTTAATCAGGAGGTCGTAAAAGGAACGGGAACGTCGACGTTTGAGCGGCAGCTCTCGGGAAATTAAACGCTTGGCTGTAACCCCCAGCGCTGAGGAGGGTCCCCTCCGGGAGCAGGATGGGTGCCTCGGCTGCCGGTGCACCCCTGTGCCATGGCAGCACCCCAGCAGCACCACGTTAGAGCTGGGGAGCTTAACTGGGCCTGCAGCAATGTGAAAACCTCCAGAGACATCTGTAGACGAGCGTTTCCTCTGCCCTTGCTACCTATTGGACTAAAAAAGCCTCTGTTGCGCGAACCACAGATGATTTCACTGCAGAACATTCTGACATGCAAATGATAGCAATTAATGCCTTGGAAACAATTTATGATTTCCGGCCTACTTCAACATGTATTAGCATATACCTGGTTCCTTTAATATACACTTTGTTTTTCCAAAACCACAAACATAGTTGCTGGAATTTCATGTGGAAGTGCTTAAGGGGTTGAAAGTTAACACCTTTGTGAGCCGAGCGGTCTCACAGTTGCTGCTAAACAAAAGCCTCTTTGTAGAAGCTTTCTCGAAATGTTTTCTTAACATGTTCCAAGTAGTTTTAGGCAGGCAACTAAAGTAAACAAGATGTTACCATGATAAAAACACTTGTGAAAACATTACAGAGTGCACTTAGTAGTTTCTTTCACATAAACTCCCCTTCGTTTCATCAAAGTTAAATTCACATGAAGCAGATTACTAGCTTCGCTGCAATGTAGGACTGCAAGATCTCTCCTAAGGTCTGTGTCCCTCTTTTAAAGAATATACTTGATTAAAAAATGGTACAGCCTTGATTAAGTACATCTAAACCACAATAAAATTAAATTAAAAATAAAATGGGGGGGGGAGCATAAAGCCCTACTCAATTTACTCCTTCATTTTTCGCCCTGGATACCTTGCTGAATGACCCACTCTCCTTCCAGTAAGGATTTCCTGCACAACTCGGTGTGAGGGCTGTGCATTTCTCTCGACACCGGTCTCTAAACACATGCAAATGAAATCAAGGATGCAGTCGGTGCTGCAGGAAAGTCGCTCTGTGCTGCTAATTGCTCCTGCGGCTGCCGCCTGCACGGGGCCCTGGGTGACAGGCGAGCACTCCCCAGCCCTCACCGTGCTCCCCGAACCCGGCAGAAGGCACCGGGTCGGCGGTGAGAACGGGCTCGGGTTTGTTTTTAGGCTCGGGGAGGATTCGGGAGCACACGTGGGGCTCCTGTTTCATGAGGCTTAGCAGCAGCCCCTGCTGCTGTCGGTTAGCTGAACCCATACCGCACCACATGGCAACTCAATGGCTGATGGATTAAAAAAAACAAACAACAAAAAACATCATGCTAAAACTGCAACTTATTTCAAAAAGAAATAGGGAAATAAATGCGTACAATAGCCCATGTATCTGCTGGTTCTGATAAGCATCCTCCTGTTGGCTGTGAGTGAAAGACAACTAGGATCGTTATTTGTACAGTATTTATCTTTGAAATCAAGGGCCCTGTGGTGTACCTCACCTTGGGAACAAACACTACAGAACGATCACAGAAGAGTGTCAAATCTCTGGTTTTGATTTACCAACAGTTATGATATTTCTTCCTCAGGAGGAAAAGAAATGAACCATGTTTCAGACCCGCGACTCCTTTTTTCTCCCTTAACTGTAGAATCATTTTATTGGCATACAGGGCTTTCATTCCACATGTAACTTCTCTTTGCTTTTTCTAGCAGGCCTTTTTACCGAGGGAAGTGAAATTAAGCAATGCTCAATTGACACGCAGACTGCATTTCCCCTGGTAAACAAGAGCTTTTCTCTTGAGGGGACTGTCAAGAGAGCCTCACGGATCACACAAGTACCAGAAAGAAACTTCAAGCATCTACCTGTTATCTTTTCACCGAGTACTGAATTCTGGTAAATGGCAACAGAATTTAAGGACGGACTCTCCACAGGAGACTTGGAAGGTTATGGTATCATTTTATGAAGCAACACTCACTTCCTAACAGTGCCAATACGCTGCTCGGGGACATTCATTTCTGCTTTTGTTCTGGGTTAAATATCACCCCGAACAATAAGACTTTGTCTGGACACTGCCGAATTTGGATAATGAGAAAATTTACACGAGCCGATGGATTTAGGGAAGTCATACAAAATGTTTCTGTTGAAAGGTTTCAATGGGGAAAAAAGCAAAAACAAACTGAGGATAAGTGAGTGCTAAAAGAGCCAGAGCTGCTGGAGCTGGGACGGGGCTGCTCTGGGTCCAGTGGGACTGCTCAGTAGTTCCCAGGTTATTCCTGCCCCAAGCATCTCCTCCAGGTGAACCCATGGACTTGGTCTGCTCACTGAAACATCTCAAAAACATCACCTAAAAATCAACCTTGCCTCTCCCCAGAATAAGGGCTGTATTTTCTGTGCATGGTCACATCAAGCAGTCCACTGCTCTGTAATAAACCTTCTTGAAAACAACAGGTCTAAGCTGGACAGGGGACGAGCACAAGAAGCAAAGGTGGCACTGACTTGATGTGACTACACACGTTATATTCTGATATCTAAGGCTACCACAGCACCTTTCCCTTGCATTAAGCGCAATAAAATCTAGAATTGTTTTAAAGGTCTAAATGCTATAGGATGGCATATGAATATGAATGAGCTGGCAAGTATGGCGAGATTAGCATTTATTTCACTTAAGTGAACAACAGGATGAATTAAAAGAAATGAGGCCACCCTTCATGGAAATTTATGACTAGCACCTTCTTATTTTGTAATCCTCTTGTAATGAGAACCTCCTCATTACTGTACCGTTCCTTACTTGTAACATATGTTCCTAGCAGAACCAAGGCTGCTCCTGCCGAATTTGGGAGGGCTTTGCCAGTGGAACCAGAACTGGCCCACGCTGTTCTGAGAGCAAGAACCTATCATCTGTACCAGCTAAGCTCGCCCAACAAACACCCTCTGCTTGCATCACCCTGCCCTCCCTCACACAAAAATCTAGGGAAGTGCCCCAAAAGCACAGATACAGTTGGGACTAACTCGACTCATCCATCCTGAAGAATCCCATGTGTTTATGTGGACTAACTTCACGAGGTCTCCACTGAAAATGGGAGCAGAATTTGTCCCTTTGTGCACTTAAATCATAAGCAGCACTTGGCCAGTTGTCTTTGGTGATCCTAGTACCTAGGAAAAGCTCAGTGCCCAAGTCTTTGAGACCCTGGGATCACCCAAAGCGCCCGTGTACCTGGGGATCTACCCAGGCAGAGTGCTCTTTTGTGATGGGAATGCTTTTTGCTCCAGCTTGGAGGGGTGAGGTCAATGGTGGAGCAGGGGAGCAGCCATCTGTGGGTTATTAGGGCTGTGGTCCTTCCCTGCATCGCGATGCACGCATTACCACACACTGGTCTGTACCACGCTGTTTATGCAACGTGTAAAACGGTGTTCTTTGGCAGCAAGGAAAGGTCTGCAGCAAACTGCAGGGGCCCAATTAATATAATTATAGTTTATTTTTAGTAGTGTAGACTTTGTTCATTAGTTACTTATTTGACATAAATTAAATTTCACGTGATGTTCTGCAATTCTCTGTTCAATTACGGAGTTAATTTAAGACTAGATTTCTAAATTAAAGTGAAATCAAGGTTAAATCAAGGTTGTATTGTTTACATTATCAATACTGAAACTTAAAAATTATTTAAACAAATAATAATTAAAAAAAAAGGCTGCGTAACTGCAAACGCTATTTCACAGCAATACCCTGAGCAAGCCCATACTTTCCCCATGGGGCTAATTTACTCTCCCCTGTTAAAACGTTCTTGAGCCTGATCCAAAAGCCACTGAAGTGAAAGGGAGCTCTCTGTTGACCTCAGTGGGCTTTGCATCAGGCCTGCGGTGAGCGACAGCACACGACATTTCAGGGCATGCTTTCCGCACGACGCGAGCGCCAACAGAGCCAGCCTTACTTCAGGAAGGACTGGAAGTCTTCGCACACCGCTTCGCAGCCGGGCCACTTGCAGACGCCGTGTCCGTAGAGCGGGTGGCTGTGCGAGTGCTCCTCGTGGGATACACTGCAGGGGAGAGAGAGAAGAGCTGGTGTCAATGAATTACCAATGAATCTTCACACAGGCTCTGAAGAGCCACACACAACAGATCCCGAAACACCCCGAACATCTCACGGTACCCACCTGACTCTGCCTGTGGCTTTTCAAAACAGAATTAAATACCATTTTGCAGCGTGGAACATGTGTCACTCTTACTTAGCTATCCTCCTACATTTCATTCATTAATTAAAAGCTTTGTACAGAATTTAAATTAACACGGACGGGGGAGAAATCACTTGACAGACCTGCTTAATATCCCGCTTGATGTTTTGCTAAGAAATTTATGAACATTGCATATTTACAACTCAACTTCACCAGGAAGAAAAGTCATCTCCATGCAGCAGAGTATTCTTATAACACAATATGACCGGACCCAAGGTCCTCCTCATCACTCCTGAAAGAGGAAAAGCACCAAGTCTGCAGCCCTGACTTTCCCCCCATGTTCTTTATTTACTGCTTTGGGGGTTGTTTTATTTTTGGGGTGGGTTTTTGTTGTTTCTTTGCACAAGCAGAGCCTCCTTACGTCCCAGTAAAGAGGATTCAAGACGTATTTTCAACCGCAAAATTCATCCTAAAAAAAAAAGGAACCATGCAATCAAAGGACTCCTCGGCACCAGGGTTAGTGGGGGCCATCAGCCTCTCTAAGATGTGGCAGGATGGTCACGGAGCTTTCTAACTCCTGCAAGCGGGGTTAAGGAAGGGACTTTGGCCGAGCAGGAAGGGGTTAACCCGTCAGCGGGATCCCAATCAATACGTAATGATTTGGCTGCACTGATCCAAGTCATGAGACGCTTTGATCCGGGCCATGTGGTGCTCAGGGAAATGTATCTGTTGCACTGACTGATGAACCACAGTCTGAAATATCTTCTTTATTCAACTTCGGCACGGAAACTTCTTCAGTAAAGGAATTACTTCTGCAGCGATTTCCACAACCTTAGGTGACTTTAAAAATAAAATGTCAAAATAATACTGAAATCTCTATTTTATGCTCACACACCTATCTATTTTTCATAGGAAATCTTTTTTTGCTACAGCACGCCTGTGCTGGATTATGAACTTCAAACATACACAAAGGATATGAACACATACCAGCATCTAGGTGTGGCTTTTATGACTTATTTCATCCCGGATTACAGGTAACGTTATGGAAAAATGCCGCCTTCTTGCCATTTTGTTTTTACACACACGTGGAAACGCTGTTTATTCCAGTCTCTAATATCATCTGCCCGCACAGCATAACTAAATATGATTCTTCTATTATTTCTCATGCACTGGATAGCAAGATCACCACAGCACACACTCCTGAGACGGGATCCCAAATGCAAAGAGAAAAACCTTGCTCGGATTCTGCCACTTCTGACTTTAGGGCTGACGAGAACCTGAAGATATTGAAGGAGGTGTTTTAACTTATGTTTTTTTTAAATTCAAAAAAGGCACAGACCTGAGTGGACAAGGTATTACGAGATGTGCATGAACCTAACTGTAATGAACCTAATTGTACTCTATGATTCTAATTCATTATTTCATTACAATTTTGTATTTGCTGTTTACAAACAGTACTTCAAGCACAATTATACATATGTGCAAAGTGATTTCCTTAAGAAAAAAGAGCTGTAGGTGACAAGACTTACAAATGCCTTCTGTAAGGAATACTGCACTGGTTTAACTTAATCAGATGTTTTTAAAGTGTTAAAAATACCAGTTAAAATTGTAAAAGAGCAAAGAGACGGATGCATTCCTTGCAAGGAAATGAGGAAAATGCTCCACCGCCCGTTTCTTCAGCTGAGAAAGTGGGAGCATGGCTGAAGGCACACCGTCCAGCCAAGCCACACGCGCATACGGTCAAACACCCTCCATACACATCGGAAAAGGATAATTCAGAAAATAATGGGCTTTATCATCTGTTCCCATACCTGAACAGACCAAAGGGTGAGAAAGCAGGCTTTTGTGCTGACACTCCATTAAAGTCCATGAAGACTACGAGAGAGTCACTGTGTGTTGTGCTTGGTAGAACCCCCCAGAATTTCATTGCATTAATTTACACAGCGTGCATAAACCCTACAGCAGGCCTGCAGAAACGCCGTGTGACACCGAGCGAGAAGTCAGATCCGCGTGGGTTTTAAGCACTGTAAATCTCATTACCACATCAACAGGAGTCACACGGCTTACACCCCAGCAGGGCTTTTTAAAGTTTCTCTGTGAGAGCCTAAAGGCCACGGCCAAGTCAACGGGAAGAGCCCCACTGAGATCTGTATTTATTTTCTAAATCCAAGTGCAAATCTCTTTTCCTTCCAGGGAACTTGCACAAGACAAGACAAACTATGCAGGACATGATACCCCGGCATTGTGTCCAAAGAAAATGACCGAATGACCAGGAGAGCATCGCAGTGCAAGCGATGCTGGGGACGGCCATGTCGATAACCTAGGGCTGTCGATAACCAGAGAGATCAGCGTTGATTGCAACGGGGAACTCAGAAAGGTCGTTTCCCAACAAGTGCACCACACTTAACACCTACGTACAGCTTCCACAGCATTCGACAATGCAGAGCCACTGCTTCAGCTCACCAAAACCAGACACTTCACCAAGAAACCAAAAAACCCCTCAGGTATTGAAAGCCAAACCCTCGTAGGCAGCGCACCCTACTCCCATCCCACTGGTGGGGTTTGGTGGTGCCTTTCAGCGACCTTGACGTGTCAGATCACTGCTGTTTGACACATCCCTCTTGTGGAGATGTTTGACGGCTGCTTGCTCCCTGACACAGCCCTGAGCAGCACCTCAAGACAAAACAAGGAGCAGGTCTATGCAGAGGCGGATGTAACACACAAAGGATACAGCTGGTGGAAATGAATGAGGGACTCTGTTCAACTGATCCCAGTGCTCAGTCGGTTTGAGCAAACAGAGGTGGAAAAGGAAGATTTTAATCCAATACATAAACAAACAGCTTTGCAGGCACAATTCAAACCTGTAAACCTAAACTGTTCAATGCTATTTTGCACAGTTTCTGTGATCTGGATGCATCCCTGGTCTCGCTGCTGGAGACAGACTTTTAGAAGATCTGAGCATTGGCAAGCAGAAGCAAGTTTTAGGTCTGTTTGATTTCTAATGACACATTAGAGTAGGTGTTTGTTTCTGTCACCCTCTCCTTCCCAGGAAGGCATGTTCGTGGTCGGGTACTGCTGATGCAAAACCAGTTAGTGGAAATGATTTTATAACAAGACGTCATTTTCAAAGAAGTGAAGGAATAAATGATGCAAAAATCAAGAATATGTGGGGGTTTTTCCTCCTCGTAAGGTATTTGCATACAGAACACTTCAGACAATAGAATAATTTCCAAATAATGCAATAGCGCAGCGTTATTACACGGAAGTACAGCAAATAACCCCCTGGCAAGGTAAAGCATCTTTCGTAAGCCAGCTTATTCATGACATATGACAGGATAACGAAATCCGTGAGGGAAGCTCAACACCCCATCAGTATCCACTTGGTCTCTGCTGCCTCCAGCCCTGTTTCCAGTGAAGAGAGGAGGACCAGGTATCTCCACAGCTCCTGTGTACTTGCTGGGGAGAGGAGAGGAGAGTTCACCTCTGCTTGCTTCAATCTGTGATGCTTCAACCGATCTCCAGAGCCTCTGGAGATCGGTTGAAGCACCCTTGGGGATCTCTGGAAGCAAATTCACCCCTTACTCCAAGAGGGATGGCCATCAAAGCTGGTACTCGCAGAACCCACACGCCTGGACCACTGCAACCGTTTAACTTTTGGATGCATCTGCTGTGCTACAGCATCGCTGCAGGATCACAGCCTGGGACACAAAACCATGGGAGACAGAGAAAACACGGACGGCTATGTCCCTGATGGAGAATAAAACTGAGAGTACACCCAAAAGAGAGACAGGAGCACACTACCTGTGTTGTATGGTTTAACTGGACCCATACTTTTAGCCAGAAAGTCAGGGGTGGATATAGAAACCAGCTAAGCAGAAGCCTCAGTGACAGTACTTCTGCCACACAGTGGACCATATTTTAAATATTCATGATGCTGACATACTTCATATTCCACTCTCTCTCTTCCACATCTGCTGGGGCCAACGGTCTTTGCCAAAACACGGGGGGAAGGCAGTGATGTAGAGCAGCATCCCTTATTTTCTGTTACAGTTATGAAGCATCTGCTCACGTTCGAATGGTGCGGAGAACACGCCTGAGCTGCAGAAAAATCAGTATCGTGGCTCCTGCGCTCCTCTTGGAAGGGGTTTGTGCAGAGCACCCACAGAAACTTCAGAACTGCCTTTTTTAAACTAAGTTATTTCATTTTACTTCTCAGAGGCAATGGGAAGTGACCTTCTCTTTGCCAGCTGCCATGAAACCCATGTTGGTATTTGGTCCAGGGCCCATCTCACACCACATCCCCCTGGGCCTGATGTGGAAGGCACAGCCGCCAAGGCAAAATGCCCCAATTTTGGTCCCCAAAGAGATGCAGCTGGGAATCAACACGGCTCTCCCATATTTGTGACTGCTCGCTGAGCTCTAAAGCTCCTCGAAAGACACCAGCGGAATAAAGTTGATGAAAATGTCACCACTCTCTGAGTCAGAAACACTTGCTGTATTTGACTGAAAATCAAAACGGAAGCCGTAATGATTAAATCCTTGCACCAACTGTACTCGAACGCGAGTTCCTGCCTTCATGACAAAATCAATTGAATAAAGATGTGTTTTGTGGTGAAGCTGTACTGGTGCAAATCCCTCTGAACTCTTACTAAGGACGCTTAGCACCCCTTTTCCTCTGAATTTAAAAAAAAAAACCAAAAACAATTAAAAAACAATAATAACAACATGAAAAATGAAGTATCAAGCTGAAATGGACTACTTCTAGATAGTCGTATGTGGCCAGTGGCAGCTCTTCCTACAGCTGGCTTGCATATTTTGGGATGCTTTCTAAAGCTGCATTTCTCCCCTTCCTCATTGCTTCAGCC